CCGCCTGCAGCGGAGCGCGGGAACTTAACCACTCGGCCAAGGGGCCAGCCCCTGCCATTTGTCTTTTCAGTTTTATTTTTCCATGATGGAATTTCACTTTTTTGTATAGTCAAATTTTTCATTCTTTTCTCTATAGCTTCGAAGACTTGTTTTACGCATAGAAAGTTCTTCCCTCTCCAAAAGTTTAAAAAAACACAAAACTTCCATATTTCCTTTGGATACTTTTATATTTTAATCATTTACATTAAATATTTAATACATCTGGAATTTAAAGCTTCAACTTTATCTTTTTCCACATGGTTAACCAGTTGTTTCAAAAACATTCACTAAATAATCCACAGTTTTCCTTGATGTAAAATGCTAACTTTACTATGTATCCAATTCGCACAAGCATTATATCTTCTGGATTTATGCATTGGTGTCTACAGTCTACTATAGCTATTTTAATTACAGTAGATTTACAACATATTTTGACATCCAGAGGGACTAGTCACTCCTCAAGGCTCTTCTTTTTCAGATTTTCCTCGGGGCATTCTTTTTGTGTTTCTTCGCTTGAGTTACTATTCTGCTCTATGATTCCCAATTTATTGACTAATCTTTGCCAAGTGACCTAACTTCTGTGCCTCAGCATCCTAATAAAACTCATAACAATGACATTAAAATGAATTTGGATTATTTACATATCTGGAAAGCATGAATGCTAAAAAAGCAAACAGTTATGTTTAAGTCTAGAAAGGAAACTATTGTGTTAACCAGGAATAAGAAATTCAGTGCAAGGGAAATTCCCTACTTTGGCACTAGGTTCAAACTCTGTTTCCACTGATCAGTCTTGCATTCTTTCCTCTCTGTTTGCTTTGGCACACCTGATGCCCAACCCTATCACATGTTTAATTCAGAGTGTAAATCATGAAACCACAGCACCGAAAAGGACCTTAGCCTGGCTCTCCTAAAAGTTCTTAAATCCTGATTTGGGAAACAGATCTTCCGAGGAGGGAAGGGCCCTGCCATGTGCTCCGCAGAGCCATTTTAAAGCATGTGATTTGCTTTATATAATTAGAGTTGTCATGTGGGATGCCGGAAAAAATGTGGAAAGTGTTGGAGAAAAAGATGTAGGTAAATTTTTCAGCTTAACGGCCTGAATATGTATCAAAAGGCTTTCAAACAACTGTGCCCTTTAGTTTTGCAATTCTGCTTTTCAAAATTTATTCTAAAGAGTGAGCATAAAGGTTTAAATTATATAAGGGATTCACTGCAGAATTGTTTATAATAGTGAAAAAAACACTTTTAAATCTGAACTTTCAGAATTGAGAGGTTGGTTCACCAAAGTACAATACCTCTGTATTATAAAACACTAAACTTGGCAGCAGTTAGAAAGCATCTTTTAGAGCTGGTTCATTCCCAGACTGGGTGAACCGCCCCTGCTCTGGGTACCCTAAGCATTGCACTACCCTGTGCTGGCACTTACCCTTTCATTATTGTTGTGGCTGCTTAATTGTCTGACCTCCGGGCATCAGAGACTGTGTCCTCTTAGCTCACCATTCATCTAACACATCTTGCATATGGTAGATCCCTAATAAAGCTTGACTCAGTGAATGAATGACTAGATACGCACAGAAAGAAGACTGGAGGAATAGCCACCAAAGGGTAAGAAAGCTCATTGCTGGCTATTTAAATATTTCCTTCCTTATACTTTTTTTTTACACATTCCACATTTTCTACAGTGGACCCAATATAATTCTGTAATTAGAAGAGAAGATACTATCTTTAAAAATTGTAACTCAGAGCCTGCCGTAATGTATTTGGAGCCCAGTTTTGAATACGAGACCCCGTTTGGCTCTGCTTCAACAAATCCACCATCTACAAATCAGAACTCAAATATCACACAGTTTGCTAAAGGGTGATTACTCTCAGCATGGGAAGATTCATGGAAGGCATCCATTAAATTGTAGATTCTTCTAGAACATTTAAATGTCGACATCATTTTCAAAATAGTCCATCTACATACTAATTTTCAAGACAAATCTTTAAGGGAAGTTTACTGGCTTAATTTTATTAAGCTACTGTTTAGAAATAGTCTTCATTCCCCTAATCCAAATGGGTTGTTTTACCTAGAGAACTGATAACATCAAGTATTTTTGTGATAGCCTGAGGTTTACACTTTACTTCTCTTTAAAGCGAAAACAATTGGGTTTTTCCTAGGAGAGTGAAGAAAAGGTAAAAAAAACTTTTTTTAAAAGGTTGCATCCCTGTGTTCTTTTTGTTTTTAAGATCGGCCTCTGAGCTAACAACTGTTGCCGATCTTTTTTCCTTCTTCTCCTCTTCCTCCTTCCCTTCCCTCTCCTCCTCCTCCTTCTTCTTCTCCCCAAACCCTCCCAGTACATAGTTGTATACTGTAGTTGTCAGTGCCTCTGGTTGTGCCACGTGGGTGCCGCCTCAGCCTCACCTGATGAGCAGTGCCATGTCGGTGCCCAGGATCCGAACCGGTGAAATCCTGAGCCACCAAAGCAAGTCCAGGAACTTAACCACTCGGCCATGGGGCAGCCGCCATCCCCGTGTTCTTAGCCAGGACATTTCACAGTGGAAAACACAAAAGCATACATGGCTTTAATTGTCCTCAAACTGTTTATTTCATCCTATGGCCCTACCCTCCAACTATCCCCTGGTCCTGTAAGCACTCATTTCCCAGGCTCCTTGTCATTTGGTTCTGTAGAAGCCCCAAGTCCAGATAAAAATATTTAAATAATGAAAATTGCTCTGATCACACTCTTTGGAGGCTCTTTCCTAGTTAATTGTGGTCCATCTCTGCCTAATGAACACGCCAGCCACACACAGACACATGAACCCCATAATTATAGCTTGCAACATGAACTCTGCAGACAAAAATCCCATCATTCAGTTTACCCCTCGTCCCAATCAAAACTGACCTGCCCAGCATTCCTCTCATCCATGTCTTGTTATATAATGTCATGGCATAGAGTTTTCCAGTAGTTTATTGGTCACTGCTGGAAGATGTCAGGGTTTGCTGCTTAACCCGACGTTAACATAATGCCTTCCCCGAGGCCAGGATTCTAATGGCAGGGGTTTCATGCATGCAGGCTTTAATAATTTTGGCTCCACATATCATACCAACTGTCTTCAGGTAACCACCACCCAACCCACCATCTCATTCCAGTGCCCCCCAAGAAGGAGTAGGAAGGAGAGGGAACGTGCTCGTCCCCTGTGACAGCTCAAGGAAGGGCCCCTGTGCTTTCCAAGCCCTTGGATTCTGTCCCTATGCCTTCTTCCTGGTAGGGCCATGGTGACATTTCCTATCAGAAGAAACAGGAACACAGTGAAAGGGAAGCTGTCCTGTCAAACAGAGAAACAAATAAGAGAATAGCACATGAGTAAGCTCACAGGGTCTGCCTAACTCCAGGCTTCCTTGTCGGTGCCCTAATAGTTCTGCGTAAATTATGTCCTGTTGGATTGAAAAATCACTCCTATTAGCCAACAGTCACCCTCCAACTGATCCAAACAGAGGCTTTTTTCTACTGCAGAGAAGCCATCCTCAGGAAGGACTCAGGGTGGGAATTCAGGCGCAGCGGCAGGCTGGTGAATGTCTAGGCATGGGAGTTCTTTTGTAATTTTCGCTACTTCAGGCTATGACTTTTACGCAGCTTCCCACTCTTAAGTTCAGAGCATACTGCTGGTTCCAGAGAGGCTACTGTGGTTGTGGTGGGTGCACAAAATTTCACAGGCCTTGACGGTCACCTCTGCAGGTTCTCTGTGCTCTATTACTGAGACCTGTGGCAAAGTCCCCTTGCTTAGTGGCAGCGTCTGGAAGTGCTGCACTGTGTGACTGGGTCTTCTCATTCAGGAGGTCACCATCTTTGTCCTCTAATGATTTCACTTCCTATTTTATTATAACTCCAGTTCATGACAGTGAAATTGGAGACTGGTTAAGTACCACAACTTGATGGGGGCGGGGGGGGGGGGGACGATTCTGACCTCGAGCTCTTGACCTTTTAAAGTGGCACTGCCCATTGCAAATATAATGGAAGCTACACATGCAATTTAAAATTTTCTGAGCAGTCACATTAACAAAGTTAAAAAAAACAGATAAAATTAATTTTAGTAATATATCTTATCTAACTCAATATGTCCAGATATTATCACTTCAGCATGTGATCAACATGAAAATTATTAACAAGATAGTTTATATTTTTTGGTACTAAGTCTTTGAAATCTGGCATGCATTTTACAATGACAGCACGTCTGAATTTGGACTACTACATTTCAAATGCTCAGGGGCCACATGTGGACAAAAGGCTACCGCATGGGACAGTGCAGTGAGAGAGAAAGCATGATGTGGAGATCAGCCAGCCCAACTCCTTATTCACAGAAAAGCTAAGTACGTTTTCTAAGGTTATGCAACCAGTTAGGAGAAAAGGTACAGCCTAGAGGGAGTGGGAAGAGGCCCATCTACCTGTCTTACCCGTCTCAAATAAACTGACAGCTTCACTGGAAACAGTTTGGCTGCAAACCAAAGACCAGAGTGGGATCAAATTTTTCCATATCTTTCCACCAGATATTTTTTTTTATGACTTGTCACCCTTGTTCCCAGAAACGCCTAGTTTCAACAAGCTACTTAAACACTGATTCCTTTATGCAATGGAGGTATCCATCAGAATCACCTATGGAGCTTTTTAAAAATTCAAATTACTGGTCCCGTGCCCCCAATTCTGATGTATAGATCTGTGGAGAAATTCATGTAGACAGCTATTTTTTTTTAATAGTTCCCAAGTGATTCTGATGCACACCCCCAACTCACAATGACCTCACCAGCTGCCAGATTGTCTGGCCACCGACATCGTCTAACACTGCTCCCCATTCCGTGGTTTGACCACAAGTCTGCTCTTAAGAAAGAATCTGGTCTCAAGGAAAGAAACAGGAGAAACAGGTACCCCAGCACCTCCCAGGGCGGGGCTTCCTGGCTTATTTTTCCTCCGCGCGCTTTTTCTGCACCCAAGGACACCTTTGGCTTCATTTCCTGATCTCACTGCCTCACCTGCGGTGCTGTCCCAGCTGGTGGAGCAGGCGGGCATGCAGCAGACAGGACTCGCTCTCGCCCTCGCGGCTTTGGCTGCCTGTGTGGCTCTTCGCACCTCCGAAGGTGAGTGGGGGCGCCTGCTAACTAAGCCTCCGGTGGGAGGAGGGGGGGGGGTGCCGCCCAAGATGGAGCTGGAAGGAGCTCCGTGCTGCCATCAATTTGGGGTAGGAATTTCAATCTCTTCAGGTAGGAATTTCCAGTTATCTACAAGAGAATGGCATAGGTTTAAATTCCGGATCTTCAAGAAGAAATTTCGGGAAGGAACCTCATGAGCAACAAGATTAGTAATTTACCACCTGGAGGATGAGATCTTTCACGTCAGTCAGTGCAACTTTGAGCTGCGTGTCCTTTTCTGAGGACAGTGTCTTAGAAAATCCCCAGGTAGAGGTTGGAGGAAAGACCCTGTTGTTCATCTGTCTCCCCCTGCCCCTAACCTGCTAACCTGTCTGGGTACGAGTGTGCACATTCCTGGAAGAGAGACTCGCTTGACCTTCTGTGTTAGGATTTGGGAAACTGCAACTTCTCTGAACAAAGTCAGCCCTGTGGATACAGAAAACCAAAACTTCACTCTGACCTTTAAAAAGGGACCCAAGATAAAGGAGGTTGAACCATACAAATTACGTCAAAGAGAAACTTAAACTGTGAGTTGCTAGCATATATATGAAGATTACAACCATATTTGGACAGGAGGCAATCTTTTCTACTGTATTTAGGAAACTCTAAATATAGCTACTTAATACTTGGCTGATTTGACTCTTTTCCACTGTCTTCTTTTCTGAAACTTTATCCTGAACAGATTCTCTAAATCCAGAACAGAGGAGAAATATAGATTTTGTTTGGTCTGCTTTTTAAAAAAGTAAGCCAACATTTTAAAACTGATGAATTTCACATATGCATATTCATATCTAAACATACATACAAACTGGATTTTAAAGCTTCTCTTGAAAAATCAGGTCTGGCGTCTATGGTTCCACGTTCCCTGGCAAGAACTGGCTGGAGCAGACTAGCCTCTGTCCTTCTCTGAAGTTGGCTATCATCCCATTAACTGCATTTGTTTAGGGACCCACATGTAGTGCATCAATATACTGGGCTTGTATTACTGAGCACAGGAAAAATCTGGATAATCTCTGATTGATTTCTATCAATCTATCTTTTCAAGACAAAGACAAAAGTCTATTTTATATGTTTCTGTAAAATTTTTCAGAAAAACTCACCATTGAAATTTTACGACTCACTTGCACCGTTTCTCAAAGGTCTAGCTGCTAAGGCTTTATTCCTAGTTTTAGCAATGCAAGGGTTTTTTTCATATAAAACTTTGCAATAAAGGTGTATTATTTCTCTCCCTTCAGCTTTCTGACCTGTTTCCAGCTGTCCCCACAGCAGCAGCCGCCCTCCTACAGGCAAGGAGGGAGGGCAGGGCAGGGCAGGCCAAGGGCAGGGGTGATGAGGGAAGCCCTGCCAGACCCAAGGCCAGGCATCATATGGGACAGTCTTGGCAGAGGGAGTGCTACAGCAAAACACAGAGTTGTTTGAAAAGCAACAACTGGTGAAGATAAGAAAGAAAGGGAGCTGAGGAGACTCAGCAGTAGCCTTTTGGGTTGATTTCAGGGCTTTTCCTAAGTCAGTTTGGGCCACAGGACAATCCCAGTGTCTGAGAAGCCCCAAGCCTCCACCATTTAAAAATAAGTGATGTTGGGTTAAAATACCTGAAAGTACGCCTGAGAACAGTTGTGGAACTGAGAGGGGCAACCCCACTGCCTTGTGTGGCAAACTTCCATTCAAGTGTCTGTGTGTGCCAATGCCCCGGGGGAGGCTCTAAGGGGTTCAGGCTTCAGGGAGGGAGGTGGGGAATACTGAGCAGTGCAGGCAAGAGGGTATAGGTGGCCTTGACAACTGTTGCAGGCTGGGGGAGGGGATAAGGAAGTGGCCTGTGCCAGTTTGGGACTTTGGAAAATACTTTTTGTTCTTCCAGGCACTAACAGTTCCATTGCCTTAATGATACCTTAAATGGCCACCTTGATGTGATGGCTCAGTAGTTAGTATTCCCAAAGGGTTCTGCATAAATCAAGAAGCAGTTGACTAACCCATAATTAAAAGCCTAGGATTCTACACAAAGGTAAGGCATGCTCCACACCTGCTGACATGGCTTTTGGCTCCCAGAACTCAATACCGAGTCCATAAAAATGTTGATCATCCACTCTCGGGGGCCCTGAGCCAGATTATTTAAAGCCACAACCTAGGGCTTTGTGGGCCCGGCTGTTTTTATTGTACGTTCAGACTGGGGCTCTGCTTGTGTCCAGCAGATGCGAGTTGAGGGCTTTTGCTTCACTGAGTCCCCAACTGGCTTCCTTCTGACAAGCTGCTTTCTCGGAGTAGATGGCTCTTGATTATACAGATGCTTGCTAGGGACTTGCTGCTTGCATCCTAAAAGAAAACTTTCTCTTTTGTTTGTTTGAATCATAGGAGGCTCACTAGGGAGCGTTACGCAGAGTATGCATTTGTGCTTGAAAGCTGTTCTGCACAGCTGGGACTCTCCATTTCACCAGGCGTGGTCCCTGAGAGGCCTGGCATGATGCGCCGGTAATTGGCTGTTCAGTTTCTCTCCAGGTGTGCCCTTTAGTTAAAACAATACGTCCTGCATTCCCTGAATTCAGTACCATTGTTAGATTAAGCATCTAGATTTTGGTTCCAAAACCCTGTCATCATATCTGTAATGTATTTCAGGGTTTTTTTTATGTCCTTTTCTATGTCTAGAGAAGCAGAGTGGTATAATAGCAATCTTCTCAAATTTGAGTCATAAATGAGTCTCTTTAAAGGAAGACGTTCTCTTTACTGTCGATGGGAGGATGCCTTTCAAATTATTTTACTATGTTACTTGATGTATAAACATAAAGCCAGGTATAAACCCTTGTGTATCTCTCTCTTCTGCAATTGTAGAGCCAAAATAAATTTAAAATTTAAATAAAAACACAACTACAAAGCCAAGAAAATTTAAATGTGACAACATTAATTTAATGTAGTACTGTTTGGCCAAAACTAAAATCACCATTCCAAACGTGAGTACAGCACTAATTCTTGAGTTGCAGTTTTTTTGAGTTTTCTGTGCATATGTTGCCATGTTCAGAATGTGAGGTGTTTTCTTCCCCACCACTGTTTTCTGTTTGAGCCATGATATAATCTGGCCCTCCCTTGGCATGAATGCCTTATGAAATTCCACTCTGTTCTTTTCTGATTCGCCTGGGACAATTAAGGGAGGATGTGACTTTGGTAAGAACACTAGCATAAACATAAGCAAAATTCAGATGTCTGAAGTGCTCTTTTAAGATGGTCTTCCAGAAGATCCAGAACATATCTACTTAAAGATTATCATTGAAATGACATACTAAAATTTAGGAATTGTCTGGAGAGTTCATGAACCTTGAGAACACATCTATGGGCCTCCTCTCAGAGGTCTATAAAACTCAGTTTAAGAAACACTAGCATGGTGGGAAGAGTCTGGACTTTGGATTCCAAAAGGCCAAGGCAGAATTCTAACATGAAGTTGGGAAATTGCTTAATCACTCTGAGACCCAGTTTTCTTATCAGTAAAATAGGAATAACAATGCCTCTCTCATTCGCACGATTAAATGAGATAATATATGGAAAGTGTCTGGCATATAATAGGTGCTCAATAATTGTTAGTTCCTTCCCTGTCCTCCCACACAAGGTTCTATCACCTGCTGACTTTTTTAAATTGAAATTACAAAAGTCACAAAAATTAAAGAATTTAATTCCTAAAATTATAAAAATTATAACAGTAACAAGAGTGTACATTTTTAAAATATAAAATATAAAATAAAAAAGTGAAAGTCACCCTTCTCCATTCCCTTAATCCCTCTTCCCTCCCCAGAGGTCATATCCCTTCTGGGCTCTCTGTATCCTTCCAGAACTTCCTCGATACTTACAAATATGAACCCGTGCACATCCACACAGATTTTTTGTTTTGTAAAGATTGGCACCTGAGCTAACAACTGTTGCCAAGTTTCTTTTTTTTTTTCTGTTTTTTCTCCCCAAATCCCCCCAGTACGTGGTTGTATATTTTAGTTGTGGGTCCTTCTAGTTGTGGCATGTGGGATGCCGCCTCAACATGGCCTGACGAACGGTGCCATGTCTGCACCCAGGATCCAAACCAGCGAAACCCTGGGCTGTGGAAGCAGAGAGTACGAACTTAACCACTCGGCCAGGGGGCCGGCCCCCACACAGATTTTTAAAAGTATAAATAGGACTATCATCTACATATTGTTTTACTTATTTTTTTCACTTAATCACAGATAGCAGTATATCTGTTCAACACACATAGTCATTTCTTAAAAGTTTGCATCATTCATCTTACAGACAACATACAAATTTCCCAGAGCAATTGGAAATGTTAAAATTTCATTATCTTTCAGGGTCCTATCAAGAGACAGAAACCAGATGATAATTTGAATAGGGAAAGTTTAATATAACAAATTATTAACTAAAACAAGAGACAGGCTAAAAGAAGTAAAGAGATCGCTAACGAATATAGGAATAGTAGATATTCCTAGGACTGAAACGGAGTTTTCAAGGAAAAGATCCTGTACCCTCGCCTGCCCAGTGGAGATCCAGACCTTGTTGGAGAGGACATAGCCAGGGCTCGCCAAATCCATTTTTTGTCTGTCTTCCAGTTTGTGGGGGGAAGTTCCTCACAGGGAGCTGTCTCCCTAGAGGCCTCTGCTACTGAAATGCCTGGGGAGGGGAGGATGCTCCGAGCCACCCCGCACTCCCAGGGCCAGGGCTGGGGCAGCCGCAGCTCTGCAGGAGTTGGGCCTAGAGGAGCCTGCTGCCCGGAGCACACTGGAGCCAGGAAGGAAAGCCCCTTCTTCCTGCAATGTCTTTCCTGGGTCCTCTACCAACAAAGTTTAACATCATGCCAGCTGGCAGAGGAAAAATATTTCAAGGGCCCATCTTAATTTCCTAGGACTGGCAATTAAGGGTGAATTTGAAGCTGAGAGGCAGTAAATAGACAATGGGCACATCCCATGAACACTTAATAGGCACCT